AAAACACCTGTATCGTTTTAAAAGACCCAATAAAATCAAAAGTATCATTTATCAACACCTTAAAAAGCACATTGTCAATCATCCTATTAAATATTTAACAGTTCAACCTTTAGAAGTAGTAAATAAGCAGCCTGGTGAATCTCATTCAAAGTTTGTACGATCACGGAAAATAATTGAATTAAATTGGATTAAAAAATTACAGACAGTCTACCCTGTCGGTCTTAATAATAATATCATGGGAATTGGTAATATATCAAGAACCGATTGTGTTAACATTTTGGATATAGTTTCTAAAACTGTTCGTAAAAACCGTTCTCATGGGCGTAGAAAAAATCGCAATCAAAGAAAATTTCGGACCAATCATACAAATATTTCGGACCTTATTTCTATTTCAAAAATTTCAAAAAACAACGGCAGACATTATCTATTAACCAAGCTCTGTTCTTTACCTATAAATAAATTAAATAAAGTTTTAGAGGATTGCAACACAATTTCATATTGCAGTCCTAAGTATGAAATCGTTCAAATTATAATGGCATATTGTTATTCTAAACTGTTTCCCAAAATTGATCGCCATGATGATCATAAAAATATTTTATTAAAATATAGTATGTCAATAAAGGTTTTGATTTTGTAAATATTGCCGGTATTTTTAACGACCATTCTGTCAAAGAACAAATTCCTGGATATTTTGATAATACTGAACTCCCTCTTATTTGTTTTATTTACAAGAAATCTACCCGGAAATTTGTGTTTAATTATAGCCAAGTCTGTAAAGATGTAAATATCAGTGAAAATACACCTACGTCATGTAATTGTAGTAATTCCGAATACACTCATGGCCCCATTTCCCATGTTATAACAGGGGACCTTAACATCGTTCGCGACCGAGAGTTAAAATCATTCCTAAGTAAGGGACCTAAATATCGTCCACCGTCAATTATTAATTGGAATGAGTGTCGTAATATCATCCACGACTCACTTCGTGCTTACTGTTTGAAATGGATAAAACGGGAAAAAGCTGACAAAAAATCTTTGGACTCTTTTTTTAAATTCAGTAATGAAGATAGTTGAATTACGTATACAACATTTTAAAGAACATTTTACCCTTAACAACAACCATAAAAATCCTATTTCTCGTATCAAACATAAACTAAAAGAACTAGCCAAGGAATTTGTTTTTGTCCCGGCTGATAAAGCTGCTAATAATATCATTATAGTTTGACGTAAATTTTACATTGAAGTTCTGCAAAAGGAAATCACCAATTCACCAACATTCCAACTGACTTCATTTTCAGAAAACGATATCTGTAACAAACATACACTATTAGCTACTTCTTTACAGGCAGAACCAAATACAATGAAAGTCCCAACTATGTACTGGCTTCCGAAGCTACACAAATCACCTTACAAATATAGATTTATTTCGTCTTCAAGTCATTGTTCCACTTCTAAATTGTCTATTCTACTTACTAGTACACTTGGTACAATCAAAAACCTGATAATAAATTGTTCAAATAAGGCCTTTGAAAATAGTGGAATTAAATACTTTTGGAGTGTCAAAAACTCGTTGGAAGTACTTGATAAATTGCATGCATATATTGGTGATTTTGAATCTGTTCAAAGTTTTGATTTTTCTACCCTATATACCACTTTGCCTCATATTCTTATTAAGAAAAAATTTACACACCTGATTAAATGGGCATTTAAAAAGTCGGAATGCGAATACATATGTTCAAACTCTTTTATGTCATTTTTTAGTAGCAACAAACAAAAGAACTATGTCAATTAGACATGCTTTGATACTATATCTGCCCTTGAATTTTTACTTGATAAAATTTTTGTTCGCTTTGGAGATTCCGTATATCGTCAAGTTATCGGAATTCCAATGGGGACTAACTGTGCACCACTTATTGCGGACCTATTTTTGTATTGTTATGAGTTACAATTATGACTAAAATCAGCAAAGACCCTTCAAAACAACATCTTATACAAAAATTTAACAATACTTTAAGATATTTGGATGATATATTGGCTCTCAATAATGACGATTTCAGTATGTATACTAAAGAAATTTATCCTGTTGAACTTACTTTAAATAAAGCTAATACTAAAAATGACCACTGTCCTTTCCTCGATCTTGATATCTATATCATTAACGGAAAGCTTGATACAAAAATTTATGATAAAAGAGATGATTTTTCATTTCCTATCGTTAATTATCCATTTTTAGATGGTGATGTTCCCTTGTCACCATCTTATGGTGTTTATATATCTCAACTTGTACGATTCGCTCGTGTATGTAACAACGTATTAGATTTTAGCGAGAGAAATTTATGTATTACTGAAAAATTATTACACCAGGGTTTTCTATATCATAAACTAGTCAAAACATTTACTAAATTTTATCATCGGTATAAGGACATCATTCGTAAATATAACTCAACATGCAGACATCTAATACGTTCTGGTATTTCACATCCATTTTATGGTAATATTCTTTACAAAGCACAAAAATGTGCATTTTTGCGCCTGTCCCAAGTCAGGAGCCTCTGGCCTTTGTTAGTCTTGTATCGTTTTTAATTTTAGTTTCCTGTGTATAATTTGGAGTTTAGTATGACGTCCATTATCACTGAACTAGTATACTTATTTGTTTAGGGGGCAGCTGAAGGACGCCTCCGGGTGCGGGAGTTTCTCGCTGCATTGAAGACCCATTGGTGGCCTTCGGCTGTTGTCTGCTCTATGGTCGGGTTGTTGTCTCTTTGACACATTCCCCATTTCTATTCTCAATTTTATCAATAACATTTATTTTCATGATTGAACAAATTGTAAATGCAAACAACTCAGACATTACACCAGCATAAATTACTGTTCACGTTTTTAATATCCCGAGTCTTTATTCAACCAGATAAGTTTTCACTGAAATGGGCTATCGAAAATACAGATGAACGGATTAAACCGTTGCTAAGCTGGACTGTAATGTCTTCGCTCAAATGTCCTCTCGTGGTTTAATTTTTTTTCTCCAAAAATGTCCTGTGCCCATGTAGACAACTAAAGACTGAACAACTATATTTTGACTGTGAACTTTTTATAAGCATTAGTACTAGAAATTTAAGGTAAACCCTGAAAATCCTTACCTGTACCAGGTGAAAAAATCTACTGTTGAGTGTTTATTAATCAACATACATCTTCCGCATACAACTTTTCATATTTTTGCGCATGTCTGTTTTTACAAAAATAACTTTGTAATTGATTTTTCTAAAATATTCGAAGAATTCACAACTAACTTTATTATGTGTTTACCTCTACCATGTCTACATAACAAAGTTTTATTTTGCTAATACAAAAAGATAAATATGTATTTAAACCCTTCATCTAGTCTACATCTAGTTTGATGACCGCTGCCACTGAAAGCTTAAATGATATCCGATGAAATTAACTTGTTCTCGTGCGATAAATCAAATTTAATGCATTATATATGTGTCTGTCCAAAGACTGGACCCTGTAATTCAGTGATTGTCGTTTGTTATTTTTTATCTTATTTGTTTTTTGTTTATTGTTTCGATCATAAATCAGGCCGTTTGTATTCTCGTTTGAATTGTTTTACATTTGTCATTTTGGTGCCTTTTATATATAGCTTGCTATGGGGTTTGAGTTTTGCTCATTGATGAAGACCGTACGGTGACCAATAGTTGCGAAATTCTACGTCATTTTGTCGCTGGTGTATCATAAGCAATTAAACCACAGCTTCTTCTTTTTACAATGTTAATTATATTTTCTAATTGCTTGCTTCACTACTTCAGATTTTACTGCAACGGTATTGATCCCTGATAAGAGTGTTTCCGTCTTATGTGTTTTGATATTACAACCGTTAAAGTACTAGCTATCAACTTTTATGACAAACCATTTGTTGATAACGATCGAGTGTAAAAAAGCAATTTGATGTCTGGGAAAAGCTACTTTCTTTTGAAGATCATTTATTTTGACTCCTATTGACAGTTGTCATTTCTCTACTCTGTATATTAAAGTATCACATTATCTTATCTAGCACACATTGTCCTATATACGAGGTGCTCTTACTATGGTGGAGTAAAATTGTTACGGTTCACGGAAGAGTGAACATTTCATTACGAATTTTATATTTGTCAGTTACCGATTACCGGTTTGCTTCTTTTAATTTCACCTTTAACACAAAGTGTTTCCATTTGCTAGTTGTAAAGAAACGTCCACTACCGCTAATTGAAAACAACGAGAAATAATAAACCTGTCCAAATTCCTGACCAAAATCTTTCTTGCGTTATGTAGCGTACTAGTAACAAGCCGAAGACAAAACGTCGTTTAGGAAGGCAATGTATACAGTCACTAAGTCATGTTAGTTAATAAGCTACAAATACGGATATCTTTGGTGCAAAATATTGAAGAAATGATACAGGAAACACTCACAAGACTAGTCGTAGCGTGTCATTAGTGTACTAAGGTTCGTAAGAAAAGGATTTTTTCCAAACATTTTTTAATATTTATATGTACAAATAATTAAAGGGCCAATAACGGAATTGGCAAATAGTGTATTTCGATATTTAGGCGTAGTTTAATGCATTTTGTCTACTCAAATATACCAATTGCAGTATTAAATTGGTTACTTGAAAATGTAGTTTATCGACCTCCATTTGAACACCTCTTACCGGTGTATTTTGCTTATTCCGACAATCAGGTGCTCAATTGGAAGTCTTTCTTTCTACTCGTTTATTTAATTTAATTAGTCACGAATTCCAAAAAAAAAATCTAATTCAATATAAGAAAATTCTATTTTTTACAGGTTTTCTTCTCGTTGAGAAATATTTGCTGCTTCGGGGGACAATAAACTTACTTTCTTCCTCTGTATACATGTACTATATAATTTAAATTAGGATTTGTTTTCAGGTAGACAAAAACAGGCTGATATTGCGATTAGGAAATAAAAGGTAAAAAAATATCAATTTTTCAAATCTTCCATCAATGGAGGCAAAATATTTAATAATAGCGGAAATATCGCACGCCGTGTGCTTCTCGTTTGAAACCTGAGCAAACCAGTATCCGGTTTATAGAAAATGTTAATTTCTCGCACTGCGAGAACAACCCTGATGTTTGTCATGTCTATGTAATTGATATATTTATCATTTTTATGTCAAGTAATACATGCCTTTTTCCATTGGCAGGTAACGATTTTCAAGTATCAAAGTATATATTACAAACTTTCTGAAATTGTTCGTTTATAAATTTTGAAATTTTATAGAAACTTAGGTTTCAACTCCCTCAGGCAAAGTTGACCTTAGATGAATTTGGCTATTTTTTAGGTACTTTTGGTCATACATGTATAGCTCTTCAACTGTTTCGGTTCTTATACATACTTGGCTTTCAAATATTCGGCTTTGAGCGTTCCTGATGAAGGTAAATCCAGAAAAGCGCTTCGGACGCATTAAATTAATAACGTGTTGTTTTCTTTTTTTACAAGTACAAATAATATATACCGGGACAATTACTAAAATGATTGAGCAACTGGACAAATCAGAAAGCCGGAAGTGAGACCCAATAGAGGACCAGTCTGGGTTATACGGGGAGATCTTGTTAACGACTTATTGGCCTGCGATTGCTAATATAGCCTGCTTACATCAGGATCTATCACCAATGCAAACTGTAGCTAATATATAAGGGATATGAGCTACTAACATAAAACGACATCTAGACCTATTTGCCCATATAACATTAATAATTGTTAATACTAATTTGTAAACTTAAAGAGACCTGTTTCAGAAATTTTATAGTTATCTTTTTCTTTTTTATGCTTTACAGTTCTGTTTTTCGAATATTTTCTACATTTCCTAAACACTAAATACATAACAATAGATGAGGTAATGCTCATTAACAAAAGAAAGCACATAACATCAAAAAGATAAAACGAATACCAAGGCATATCTAACCCAAAGTGTCGAAAATGTTTGTCACCATGTTTGGCAACTAAATCGATGTAATAAGCTGCTCTTTCTGCAGGGGTCTGTGGGCGACTGTGAAATATGTCCGATGCTTGCTTTATGTTCCGCTTAAACTTATCGGTAAAAGCTACTTGCCTGATATTGGCAATTAATTCCTCAGTAGAAAAATCATGTAAATCCATCTTAATACCATAACCTTTGTCTTCCATAACGCCCGCATTGTAAGGTTGGTCAATACTTAATGGAACTTTAATAACAGGAATTCTGTGGTAGATAGCCTCCATACTTCCACTTCTGCCACAATGTGTTATACATAAAACGGTACGAGGATGACCGAGTAAATCGTTCTGTGGGATCCATGGAAGTCTCAAAATATTGTCTTTTGCCTCCTCTTTATCTCCTTGTCGAATCACAAAGTTAAGATCAGATATTTGTTTAAAAGCTTCGATCATTTTCCCAAAGGTATTATTCGGAAATGTTTTGAAAATACTACCAAAAGAAACAACTACCAAGCCTTTGTTTGCAGATGCAAATGTGTCGAGATTTTTTGATACTTTTTTCGACGGATGTGCAGCAAGACCGCCACAAAGTATTACATTTGGCGGGAACAGTTGCGGATAATCAAATAGAATATCACTGTCGTGTATATAAAGCATAGCTTTTTGTTTTGCTTCTTGGTTAGAAATAGCTGGTTTTTCTGGGACATACTTGACTGCCAGGTTCTCTAACGTTGGAGCTGCAGGTCTAGCAGCGACTAACAAAAGATATCGCAGCGTATTCCAAACACTCTCCAAGAATGTCATCTTATCATTGAATGCAGAAAAAGATGTTGGCGTGAAAGCTGGGTTCAATGGAACTCGATTTAAGGTTGGATCTATGAAGGCACCAAAAGAGACAAATGGCAGATCAAGTTTATACGCCATAATAGTGAAACAAAGAACAGGTGCGTAGTCTACAACAGCAATATCAAATTTCCGGTCTTTTAATTTGTTTATCAATTTCTTATCATTCATAAATTCGTGACAGAGAGCGTTTGTTCCTTGTAACCATTTCACCTGCGATTCAATTTTTGAACCTTGTGCCATTCTCTCAACATGCTCAAGTGTTACCCGAATAATGTCCTCATAATAATAGTTATCAAAACTCTTTGCAATGATAGAAGGTGAAAGTTTAATGCCTTCTGATTCCAACGCCTCTTTCATTCTAGCTGCTACCACAAAAGTAGTTGTATGGTTTAACTTTACCATCTCCTCGGCAACAGGTATTGCCGGCAACATATGACTTTTTGATTGAGCCATTAGGAATAAAATTTTCTTGGCATCAGTTTCGATAATGACGTGACACAGAAGGCTGCTAAGGTACAAAATACTGGCGATCATTTTGCTGCAAAAATTATCAAAAAACAAATTATATCTATAAACTATTGTTTAACAGACAAAATATAAGAATAAATCGGCTTTAAAAAAAACTTCATTTACTGATAATATGTTACCTGAAATCAAAGAAACTGATAATCGACTTGTCTTCGACTTTTCCATATTTCCTTGGTATCTTCCGACTCTTTATTGGACATATGATGTCAAGGAAATCTCGAGATCTAACCAACTTCAAATATTCGAATTGATAGGTACAAAATCCACACTAAATGGAAGCGTTTTCCGGACTTTTCAGAAACGACCAAAAAAAATGAAAGCTGAGAATAGTAAAAAATATCTGATGAGCTATATGAGCATAAGGGACCAACACAGAAAGACAAAACCAACAGACAACCCAAGATTGTTCCTAAATAGCGACATAGCATTTCACAATAAATGAATTTAAAACTTTGTGCATTTCAAATGTCCGAAGCATTTTTCTGGATTTACCTTCATCAGGAGCTCTTAATTCCAAATACTTGAAAGCCAATGATTTTACAGAAAAATCGAAACAGTTGAAAATCTAAAGGACCAAAAATATTTAATAAAAAATAGCCAAAACAATTTATGGTGAATATTGCGGAAGATACTTGAATCCTTAGTTTCTTTATAACTTCTAAATTTATAACGAACAATTTTAGAAAGGTTTGCGATAAATCATATCAGTGTTAAGTACTAAATACTATTCTGATTATATAGTTATGGATTGATAGTCGACCCAGAGCTGTAAAAAATGAAAACAACACTACATAAATTGCATGCGTTCTAAGCACTTCTCTGGATTTAGCTTCATCAGGAACGCTCAATGCCGAATATTGGAAATCAAAGACGTATAAGAAACGAAAGAGTTGAAGGGCTATAGGGTCACAAAAGCTAAACAATAACAGTCAAATCCATCTCAGGTAAAAGTTGCCGTGGGAATTGAAAAGCTAAGTCTTTTAATAATTTATAAATTTAGAAACTTTTTTTATAAATTAACTATACATTTCATCCAAATTCAGTTGTAAAAAATAAAATAAATGTTCACATCAGGAGAAAACTAAAACAGCTAAATGATGACAAAGAACCAAAACATTTTTCAGGCATTGCAGGGTGATATATCCAACAATAAATGCTATAAAAATATTGTGTTAAATATGAAACAAGTGGCAAACAATTGTACATGAAGAATTTCTATTTCAATGCACTGTAGGTTAAGAAAGTAGTTCCGAAGCTTAATCAGGGATAGGAATTCTAACGGGTTAATCACATTTGTATTTGTAGATATGCAAATTATATAACAGTTATAAGTTTATGAAAATGGTTGTGACATATTCAAGGGACAAATTTACTAAAATGAATCAATTTCATTGATATGCAAGAACTGTGTCAAGGCAATCACGTTTAAGCACGTAGTCATCATTGAAGTTGGAACTTCCTGATCGCTAACCGTATTAAATTCAACAACTCTAAATATTTTCTATCTATTTTGTAGTTACAATGTGATAGATGACATAACAATTTGTATGCTAAATTCACTTTTAGATTAGTCTTAAATCACAAAAATATCGAAGATTTCAGTTATTTAAAAGGACACTAAAAATAAATGTATTACGTCATATCTTATTTATTATTGAATGAATAAACACATTAGAAATTATGACTTCATGATCAGCATATGGCGTATGTGCCCCTTCGTCAAATATTGGTAAATTGGAAGTATTTGATTCTATCTGACTAATGCATCTGATAAATGCATGATCATGGAAAAGGAACATGCAATATTCAACATAAAAATATTAATAAATGACCTAATTCAACTATATAAAAATAAAACAAAACTTACCAAGAATATTGGACATCAATGGGACTTATTCAAAATTGCGAGAACATACAATTGCATACTGTAAACGAAAAGCAAAACAAAACATAAGTGAAATACATGTATTGGAAAATACGATTAAAAGATTAAATGAGAATATTAACCGACATTGTAAGGATGAGGTAATAGAAAATTTTCAAAAAGAATTAATTTATAATGAAAGTAAATTAAAAAAAATATATAAATGAAATAAAAACAAAAGGAGCTCAATTAAGGTCGGGGATTAAATGGGTAAAACATATAGAAGGAAGAGAAAAAAATACAAAATTCTTTTTGGGGTTTGAAAAAGCTAGACAAACAAAAAGAACTATAACTGCTCTGAGGGATAAAGAAGGAGTGATACAAACAGAATCATCCAAAATGTTACAAACAGAAAAAAAATTCTAAAAGGTATTTGAAAAAGTAAAAATCCAGATTCAAAATTTATTAATGATTATATTAATGATACATACATTGATTATATTAAATTAACCACACAAGAGAGTGATATTATGGAGGGTAGGTTACCTATTGAAGAATGTACGGATTCAGTTTTTAAGATGAAATTGAACAAAGCAACTAGAATTGATGGATTAAGCGTAAAATTTTATAGACCTTTTTGCATGTTTTGGGAAGAATTAAAGGAGTTAATTGTATGCACATTGAATTTTTTTATATAAAAACTACTTCTCAGAAATTAGGAGTTATCTCTCTTACCAAATATATTGTCACTTATAAATGATGCGTTTCCCTCGGTTTTGGCTTGTGGCCCGAAATTATTTTTTTCTTAATCGATTTATGACTATTGAACAGCGGTATACTACTGTTGCCTTTTTTAGGAGTTATCTCTCTTATCAGATATATTGATGATGTCCTATCACTGAATAACCAATATTTCAGTCAGCACTTAAATCTCATATATCCCAGTGAATTTGAAATTAAGTATACTACATATACTAGAAGGACTGCTTTGATATTGTGATATGTCTTATTTTTTTGAATTCTGCATTTTTGATACATTTTAGATATGTCTTATTTGTCAGTAGAGTCGAGTTACTTGTGGTTCGTCTATAGTGTTTTTGATTAAAGTTGTTTGTTTTCAATTGTGTTTACTGTTTGGTCTTACATGATCTTACCTTATATTACAGTTATGATATTCTTTTTTCTATACGTATGTTAAAGTTAAGATAGTTTATCAGCTATTTCATTTATATGATTTTTAGTTTAAAGCATTTATATGCACGGGATTGTTTTGTTTTAAAAAAACTGACACTGTAAGAAAAAACAAATAATAACATCATTACAAACACAATTCCATTTTAATATTCTTGTCATGGCTAGAAAATACATGAAATAACACCATTACAAACTCAATCCCAAATTTTATATTCTCGTACAGGTCTTCAATAAAACAAATATATTCTATTTTTAGAAATTACCTGTGATAATATTAACGTCTAAAAAATACGTCACTTTTTGTGGCGTTGATACAATCGTGTGACGTACAGTTTGTAATTCGTGCGTGGTGTCCTGGTGTATTGTCGTAAATTCATGGGAAGTGTCCGTTGTTATTCTGTGGTTTGGCTAATCATAAAACCAGGTTCAACCAACTATTTTTTTCTTAAATGTCCTGTACCAAGTCAGGAATTTGGAAGTTGTTATCAAATAGTCCGTTTCTATGTATGTTGGCGTTTGTTTTGTTGCAGTTAAATGTTTCTCTTGTTCCGTTGTTTTCCTTTTATACTTGATGTGTTTCCCTCAGTTTTGACTTGTGACCCGGATTTGTTTCGCTTAATTGATATATGACTTTTGAACAGCGGTATACTACTGTTGCCTTTAATTATCCATACAAAAAAATTATCCACTTTGTTTAGATAATTAAAGACCAATTACTTTATCAAATGTTGACACAAAATTAATAGCATTTTCATTAGCTCAGCTCAGTTGTCAGTTTATTTTCGACTTATGAGTTTGAATGTCCCATTGGTATTTTTTGTCTCTCTTTTTTTGCTTTTAATGTTGAAAAGCAAATAGAAAAATCTGAAACGATTATCAGGAATTGGGAGAAAATGCATTTAACTATGATAGGCAAAATAACAGTTGTCAAATCATTGATTAAACCAAATATTACTATTTTAGCATCTGTTTCACATATTGAAAAAGAATATATTGTTGAATTTAAAAAAAAATATTTACAATAATTGTTTATTGAAAAGCAAAAGAGAAAAAGTTAAATGTACAGTACTAAGCTTTGAAAAACTAGACGGTTGTTTAAAAATGATTATCATAGATAAATACATAGAATCTATCAAAATTGGGTGAATCAAAAGGTTAATTACTGGAGATCTAAATAATTGGTTAATATTTTATTTTAACAAGTTTGGAAAAGATTTGCTTATCTTTCATATGAATATTGATAATATCGATTCTATTCCAGAGCATGGATAACTCATAAAAAAGTACAGCAGCCAAAACACTTTAGATCTATTCGTCAAGAAGTTATTTGGGGAAATCATTTTATTAATATAAAAATAAATGCTTTTTATTTCAAAACTGGATAAATAGCAACATTATCTATCTATGTTAGTGACATTATTGATGAAAATGGTAATATAGAAGAAAATCGTTTTTTTTTTAAAAGCTTAAAATAAAAAAAAAAACAAAATAACTGGATGTCAGAATATTGCCAATTTAAGAAAGATTTTCAAAAGGAATTGTTAAATATTTTACAACAGGAAAATTCAATTAAAATTAAAGTAACAACAAGTTATGTAATATATATTAATAACAATTGTAATAATAAAGAAAATGTAGAAAATGTAGACACCAGGAAAATTTATAACATATAAATTTAGAATGAAATTGAAATACTTGTTGGTTTCTACACATGGAAGACAATGTTTAACCTTGAATTCATTAAGAGTCTTTTGTGTAATATGTTAAAGTTTATTCATCATTACATGTATATAAAAGATAATAAGTACAAAGTTTCCGTTGGAAATTGCTACACTTTATTCTACCTTGTAAAGTTTTACTAAAACAGTGGAAGATCTGGAATATTTCAAATTGTCATCATTGCAACACCACTGAAGATTATGATCACATATTTCTTAAATGCCACTTTCTTGATAATTTATTGAGTAAAGTTAAAAAACTCCTTGAAAAACTGAATATTTATGATAATATTCTAACATTAAAACAAATTAGTATTGTATTATAAATAAATGACAAGCAATACTATGGAATTAATTATTTGATTACAATAATTATGTTTTGTATATACAAGGCAATTATATGTCTGAACAGAAAACAATAATTTCTTTAGATGTATATTCTGTATTTAAAGCAGAATGCATGTACAGTTATAAAATACAGGCAACTAGACAACCTACGAAGTATAAATGTCTACTTGATAACGTAGTCAAATGTTGTAATAAGTTTTACGTTTGAAAATGTATAATCTAGCAAAAAAAAAGATAAAAAGTTAAAAACATTATAAAATCATATGTCCGGAACTGATTTAGAGAAATTATTTTACCTATCATCGACAAGCGTGGATTGATAACGGTACTCTTTATCCTCAGTATGTATTGTTAAATAAGAGAAAAATATATTAAATACTATAATTATTAAAAAATCAAACTTACTATATTGCATTTCTTATTTAGGCATACTTGGTGAATAGCTCATAATCATATTTTAAATCAAAATTAAAACTGGTGTGATTTCCGAATCAGGAAGAGATTTCAAAATGATACTAGTTAATTGATAACGGAAAATTAACTATTTCCGGAAACAACTTTTACTAAACAAGCTAGATGACATATATCGATTAATGAGTATTTTCATAAATATTTTATTATTTCATGATTGAAAATGATATAATATGATTTGATTTAGATGTAATGTAATAAAATGCTCATCATGCTTACCAGAGAGTAACCCTGAATTTCTGGTAAATAATACAGTGACCTTTCACTAGAATGCTAGATTAGTGAGGTAAATTGTTAAAGACCAAACAGTCTATTCAGTTCTATCAGTAATTTGTCCTTAAAATTTGTGTGAAGGTATTTCATGATTTTCGGAACAAAATATGATGAATCCATTTGTGTTTAATTTTCACTAGATATTAGTGCGACGCTTAATTCAACTTTCCTTGCAAAACGTATTTTTACGCGTACACCATATCGGAATCCGTGAAAAACGTGAAATAGGACTTTATAATTTGACGTTTTTTGCATGGCTAGAAACAACGTCATAGAACTTTTATGTCACAACCAAGTTGCATTACTTGATGCGCATTAACAATAGGCTGTTTGGTCATTAACAGCAGCATTGCAATATGTTGTTGAATAAAAAAAAAGTTGGGATAAGAGAAAAGAATTCGCTTGACTTGAAGGTGTGAATTTGCAAGAAAATAAGTTATGAATCTGTAATAACATGAATAAGGAGATTGATTATTTGATTGTTTGAATGGTATTTAATGCCACTTTTAGCACTATTAGCTTTTTCATAGCGGTCAGTTTTCATTGGCACAGGAAGTTGAAGTGCCCGGAGAGAACCATCGATCTTCGGTAGGAAAACTGAAAATCCAAGTCAATTACGATTAGAGTCGAGTTTACCTTCCCCGTGTCGCAGTGTTGACAGACTAATGATAATGTTGTTCGACTACTCAAACCACTCGACCAATCCCTCTCTTTGTGTGAATATAACGATTAAAACGATATTTTCTGGGTATGAACATGTTCAGAAAAAAAAGGAAAATGCGTATGCAAAAAAAGGTATTCGTTAAAAAGCTTTTACTTTTTTTACGACTAGGCCGTTGATTTTTGTACATAAACGTGAAATTTTCTCGGTATATTAGAGTTAAAAGTTAACATCACAACAAGTTCTTTAATGTGCCTATGGACTTCAATAATTCGAAACAATTAATCATTGATGCATATCAATAGATTTTGTTGATATTTTGTTCTGAATCTCTCTGAACATGGTGCTTATATATACGAAGAATCAGTGGCGTTTAAGTAACATATAAAGATAATAGAAAAATAGAATAAGTTTGGTATTTAAGGATATAAACTCGTTATAAATTTTATGTTATGACGAGCTATTCTGGATTTTCTTTTGTCTGGAACGCTCAAAACAAAATATTTCAAGGCCAAGAATGTATAAGTACCGAAACACGTAAAGAGCTATACGACCAAAACGGACCTTAAATAATATCCAAATGCATCTAAGTCAACCATTCCTGTGGTAGTTAACCTTAGTTTACTTGTTATTTCTACGAAAACGAATGTTATAAATCATGTTACTACCGACAAACTAACTACTGATCTGATGATAACCTCGGAGACAAAATACCGTCATTATTCATTTTTGAAAATACAAAACGTGTTCCCATAGGAACATTTCAAATCAATTCTTTACAGTACTAGTCCTCCTATAGCATGATGCATAGCCATATCTTTTCCACTGTATGTTATCTGAATTAATATCCATAGTCATATAATTAAAAACTCGTAATCCACATATTAATATTCAAACTCATCAGAGATATCGGTTTAAAATTGTGTAAGCCAAATGCACGAATTGCCTACAATAGACTATATAGTTTATTGTACCAACACAAAAGCTTTTTTTACAATGGAAAATAACTAATAATAATACGTGTAATTTTTGTAACATAGAAGAAGACTATTCTCATTATTTTTTCAATTGTTCTTATTTGACAATATTTTGGCAACAAATATACGACCTCTTAAAAAGGAGTAATTTAGATTTTGTAATAAAACTACAACACCTGATATTTGGATACAAAATCACAGACAACAAGTATTACTCAATAATTTTTTTTTTATTACAATAATTAGTTTTTCAATATACAAGTCATACTATGTATCTGAGCAGAAAACAAAAACCATAGACGTCTACAGAATTTTTATCAATGAATACACCAAGAGTGTAGATACCAATATTAATGGACATAAGGCAATAAGACCAATGTTACTAACAATCAAAAGAAACATAATCAATGAATAATTTTCTAATATTGTTATTATAATAGTGTTTTGTAAACTAAATGTATGTCAATTAATCTAATCAGCTGATTATTCCCTGGGTAGTCAGTGGATTGTAACAGGGTACGTCAAGAGAAGCTTGGAATCTTGATGGTTTATGTAACAAGCAATATTTGATGAATAAAATTATTATGTTGTTAAAAAAAAAAGAAAAGCCATGTATTTAATCTCATAAACTAGGAATAGTAGTCCGAAACAATCAAATTACAAAGTTAATGTACTCAAACCATTGAACGTCAGTGCAATTTTCAATATCAACTTGACCAAATTTTAATAATATTGTACCAATGATTATTGATTTTGTATGTAGTAATGTTACGATGCTGAATGTAAAATGGGGAAAAAGAATTAGTCAAATATGAGGACAAATCTAAATGCATGTGATTTATCAACTCCCCCTGAAGAAATAAAAAAGAATCAAATTCTACAAAAACAACACACATACAACATAACACTATTCAAGATTCAGACTTACCACTATAAATTCAGACAACTGTTCATGATCAGCTTGCATGGAACGAACATTTAGGAACCTTAGTTCAAAGACTTTATATCCCAAAGATTGTAAAGGTGAACTTGGAGATAATACATTTAATGACCATACCCTGACATCTTAAGTTATAATAATTGAAAGGCAGACACAATGGTAAAAAGGTATCAAGACTTTAAAAATAGACCTATACAATCAAAATGAACCATTAATGTACACGTTAAAAATAAATGAAGTTTTTATTGTTAATATATATTATAATGAGATTACTATCAAGCAAACATAAAGGTCTAAGGTGCAAAAGTTATTCCAAACACTTGGGCGAGAAGACTTCCCAAAAGAGACCTAAATAAGCAGACAAAGCCTCAGCTGACAACAAGAGAGATGTCTAAGTAATTGATGACTTCTTGCACAACATTGAATTAGTTAAAATATCAATTCATGCATTTGTAAATATCGTTTGAATGTTAATATTATAATATTACTTCGAAGCCTTGAAAAAATAAACTACAATTATACACATTTGTCCGTTCATACAAGGACAAGCCTACACATATTTTCTCATCAATAATGCGTTCGCTTGGATAACAGATTTTGATTTGTAAAAAAGTATAATTGTTAAATAAAACATCCACTGAGATAAAGCAATCTTTAAAGGTTTGAACAGAACGTTCTGCGCTAGGACATTTTATTATTAGCAATGCAAATCGGCGTCAATGATTGATGTTTTCTTATTAAGACCATTGAAAAATAAAATATGCTACAATGTGTGCCTTCATATCACAAACATCATAAAAGCAATCTCCGTCACTTTTTAAACTGCAATACTATATATTTTCTATTTCGTCATTTTTGTCTTAAGTCAGGAATCTGATGTTCAATAGTTGTCGTTTGTTGATGTGGTTCATGAGTGTTTCTCGTTTCTAATTTTTTATATAGATTAGACCGTTGGTTTTCCCGTTTGAATGGTTTTACACTAGTATTTTTTTGGGGGACCTTTATAGCTTACTGTTCGGTGTGAGCCAAGGCTCCGTGTTGAAGACCATACTTTGACCTATAATGGTTAACTTTTATAAATTTTGACTTGGGTGGAGAGTTGTCTCTTTGGCACTCATACCACATCTTCTTATATCTTTCTGATTTTAAATTTTAATTTCTTAGATAAAGGAATATCGTATTACACTTGATATAGAGGTTCAATATCTAAATGCTTGTGTTAAGGTTTCTACACTATGTGCTGCCTATGGTCAAAGAAAGCTTGAAAACAATGCAGCGATCTGTTAAAAAAGTTGAGAAAAAAAATACTAAAATCGACTGATACTTAAAATACATATGCAACGACGTTTAAACATACAACAAAAACGTGACCCGTAAGATCATAAAAGCACTCACAAACCTGTAACAGTTTAAAGACAGTTCAAATTTAAAGTACAACAGGTAAATAGATGACAGCCTCAAAAGAAATGTTGATAGTAATAAGGACTTATGTCTACATGTAACTTGATCCGTCGTTTACTTTATAATTGCACCTGTGGTTCACATAAGAAATGACCGCTCTACTCAGAAGAAGTTTGGACCATTTCTCACGTCAACCTTGATATTTCTCATTTCGAACTACGTTGTGTATATTTCGCTTTGCCCGTGCCTCTATGTGCGTTTTGGATTTCAATGAACACAATATATACATGAATATAACGGTTTGTGGACGGTTGAGCGCCCACAAACATGTTTAACTCTGTCATTTTTCTCTATGTGCCTGTATCAAATCAGAATCTAATGTACAGTGGTTGTTGTTGGCCACTTTCTTTGTGTACCTGTGGCAAATCGGAATCTGTTATTCAGTGGATGTTGTTGGTTACTTTCTTTATGTACCTGTGTCAAATCGGAATCGGATATTCAGTGGCTGTTGTTGGTTGCTTTTTTTTAAGCATTTGATATATCTTAATGTTTTCAGGTCTAAATTGTTCGACATTAATTATTGTCGAGGCCTTTAAACCTGACTTTACAGCATAGGTTTTCCACATTGTTAAAGGTCGGACGGCTTACAACAACACCCACGTCATTTGGTAGATAGTTGTCTCTTTGGCAATCATACCACATTTCCTAATCATTGTAAAGTTTTTTTAGGCAATAGAAATTTT